TTCATTAATATAATTTTTTTTTAATTTTGTAAAACTGTTTAAAAAAAATATGTTAAAATGCTTTAATTATTTAAAATACATTCAAATTCTCTTCCTGCTCAAAATCGTGATCTGTTGTGTCTTTTGTACAAATTTCTGAATTATATTGAAGCTTTTGTGATGATGAAATAAAATCAACTCAGTCCTCGTTCTCCCAAAGTCATTTTCATTCTGAGAATTGAATTCGACAGTTCAAGGCACATTCGATTCCTTACTTTTGTCTTTGTTGACGTCGCTCTCGAAAATACCTTTTCCACAGTGGCATTACTTATGAGTAGGCTGTCAAGCTTTAAAGCAAATGTAGCCAAATCTCTTAAAATCGGATTTTCAACTGCGTCTTTTATATTAAAAATGTGATACCAAAATAATGCTCCCTCATCTATAAGCTCAGATTCTGGAAGAAAAACATCCTTCAACTGTGTTAAAAATTTTTCTCTATTGATTCTCAACATCCAATTTAAATTGGTCTGCTAATTCTAAAAGCGGGATCAAGAAAAGGACGATTTAAATTTTAAAAAATATGAGGGTAAAAATTATTTACCTTTTTTAAAGTTATATAATTTGAAGGGATTCGGTTTAAAAGTTGCTCACATGAAGTCTTGAGAAAATTATGACATCTTTGATAGATTTCTGTTTTTGTTTCTGGAGAAGTTATTTTACTTTTGCTTGTGTGTTAGTTTATTCAAAAAGACATATCCAAAATCAACTTCTTTCAGCGTTTCGGAGTTTCCTCATGCTTTCATTGACGGCTAAAGTCTCCAGATTTTTTTGGGTGATTTTTCCGAAATAAGTCATTTTTTCGAACTTGTTCCAATACTTTTATGTGTGGTTGAAAGTAGCAAAAAGTAGAGAGACCACATCAAGTGTAGTAGCCACTGGCGTAGCTAGTTCTGAGTGGGCCCTGTATCCAAATTCCTTCGGGGACCTTTATCAGATAAGATAACCCTGTTGGTTGGATTGTATTTATACATGTTGGGGTCCCTGTAGCTTGAGGGCCCTGTATCATTGACACGGCGGTAGCTACGCCCTTGGTAGCAGCGCAAAATTCGCGAAGTAGCAAAAGGATAAAAAAAAGTAGCGAAAAGTTTTCAAAATTAGCAAAATTCGTGAAAAATCGCACGATCTGGCAACACTGCTTTCAACCCCCTTTAGAGCGCAAAAGTGCTGGATAAAATGATTGAAAGCGGAAAGGACCCACCCCTTCCCCCATCCTTTTTGCAGTATGAAGCCAAGATTTCTCCCCGAAATACTGTAAAGGTAGACGCGGAGGGCTTCATCCCGCCTCTGAGACACGTGTTGAATGCTTACCGCCCCGTCTAACTTTCCGTTTTTACCGGGAAAAATAGCGGCGCAGAGAAGGGCTGTGATGTCATTGATGACGAAACAGCTGCCGTCTCCGTGGTGGAGACACGGATGAAACCACGCTTCCAAGAAAGAGAGGTTTCCAATTCCTCCTATTTTTTTTTTAATTTTCTGAAAGATGACTGGCAGAGCAGCTGCTCGCTATTGTTGAATCCAGTGCTCCAGGAATCTTTGAACTTTTTCGACTCACGGTACCCTTGGAACTGTGTGATGGAATCTTCTCACTAATCCTCTTGGGGAATCTTTGGTGTAGCATTCG